TTTAGTTGTTGGTCCATTTCAACCCCTATATATTATTTCAAAATTTTTGTGAGGATCGGACGTGTTGTAATGTGAAAAAATAATACAAAATTTACACTTCAATATTTTATGTCAAGAGGGCTTTCTGGATTGACATGATTTGCCAAAATCGCTTCAGCCATTCTTGAAATATAAGCAATTTAGCTAACATCCCTTTCCTTTGTATACACACATTATATATATTTCGCTATATATATCCGATATATTTGCTATCGGCATCTACGTAACGGTCAGAATTAACCTGTTCGTCTATTTGTGATTTCGCCGGGATTAAAAATATTCGCGGTTTATCAAAATTTGACTTTTATTTAACACAAATGATATGAGGTGCCAGATATAGTTGACCTAAATATTCCTAAACAGATAAAAATATTGGTGTGGGTAAAATTGCAAGAAAATCATAAATTCCATATTTAGATATAGCAAGTTGCAAAAAAATTTGTGTGAAATTTTAAGAGAGTTAGATGCTTATTTCGGATCCTTTTAGCTTGTTGTTTTTCGAAATCTTGAACTCTATGTGTGAGATGTACGAGAAGAAATTGCCCGATCTCTACCATCTTTATAAAAGATGGAATCGAATGTAAATTTCGCGTTTTATAAGCTTCATGAATATTCCAATTTTTGGCCCTTTGCAGGGGAGGTACCAGAAGCAGTGGACCGATTTATCCCATTTTCACAGCAGATCTTGTGTTAGTAGAAATAATGGGATGCTTAGAAAGAGAACTGGATGCTTATTTCGGGTTTTATGATCGGATACTCCCTTCGAGAGTTGCCGTGCGCACCAGCTAGTTTATGCTATATGGTATACAACCTGTAAATGTCAATCAAATTTATTTAAACTATATTTTAGGGCCTTCTAACTTCCCTTGGACCATAACTTCTGTTTAAAGTAATCAAATAAATTCATCCCAGAATATCAACCCGACGAAATCACAAATTATTGAAGCATCGCAAAAGCGAACCCTCCACCTTTGGGTAAAGAATCCATTTTTATATAAAAATATCTAAATTCAAACGTGTTTCACTTTAAACTTCATACACCAGTAAGACCGATTGGATAATGCTGTTAAACGTTTCAAAAAAACATAAAGTAGGTGAGGCCGTTGTACTCGTGCTATACCAAAATGGGAACCTACATAGACAGTTGTATATTTCAAGGATTTGTCGTCTACCAAATCTTCTTAAATACAAATTTTTAAACAATTTCGTGGGCAAATGTGACTAGGGTTATCAAATTACCGAATATCGTTATACGTGTGCTATCGGAAAAGGTGGAACTAAATATTCAATGTTCTTCCACAGGGCTAGAATCCACTATGAACTACGTATACCAATTTGTAGACAAATCCGTGAAAAAATGTGACAAAAAAGATCAAAATACCGAATATTGGGAGGTACCGTTATATGGGGGCTATAAAAAAACATGGACCTGCACATACAATATTTCGCCACCGGAGCTAGACTACATTTTTCAGATAGATCCGTGAAAAAGTGTGGCAAAAATCATCAAAATGCCAAATATCGGGAGGTACCCTTATATGGGGGATACCAAAACGTGGATCGATACATTTCATTTTCAAAACAACCATCCTAGACACAATAGAAAGTATTCTCGACTTAGAATTTTATGCTGATTATGATTATATAAACTTCATGAGGTCTACGACGAATATTTAAGGATGTTACAAACGAAATGACAAAGTTAAAATACCCTCCTTTTTAGCATTTTTTTGAAATTTTTAATCATATTTGAGTCTTTCTTTATCTGGTTGCTCGATTAAAAAGCTGGAATGTGAGCGCATTTTTTGATCATAAAAGACTCATTTGTCGGGAGAAAAACGTGACCTCCCGCGACTCTTCTAAATAAATCACATATGAGTCTTCCTCTAGATTAGTTAAGAGTCTTTTTCGACCATTTTCTGATCGTTCTAAGAGTCTTTTCCGACTCGTTTTCTAATCATTTATTGCGCTAAAATGCTTAATTTTTGAATCTTTTTCGAGTCTGTTTTAAGTCATTTTTTGGTCATTTATGAGTCTTAAGTGAGTAATTTATTTGTCTTTTAAGTATCATATATCACTCATGTGTATATTCATTTAGGAGTCTTTTATGAGTCCCCTTTATCTTAAATTCGAGTCATTTATGAGTCTTATATGAGTGTTTACGATTCTACGAATCACGTACGTGATTTCTAAATATTCGGATCCGTAAAAAAAGAATTTGATTATATATGTTCATATAAAAATGTATTTAAAATAAAAATAATTTAGCTTTTATTTATAATAATTTACTTATAATTTGTAAATATAGTAAAAAATTAAATAAGAACATGAAAAAAATGAAAACTCAAAAAATAAAAAATCAGGAACTGCAGTCGGACCGTTTTCGTTTTGTAACGCGGTCTCTTGCGTGGCCAAAATGTTTTTGAAGAATTGTGTTCATATCCTTGTCGTTGCTTGAGTATTTAAGGTGACAAATATCTGAAATAAAATATGTACAAGTCTGTCCATTTTACTAATTCTTTATATGCGGGTTAAAAAGCAAACTTACTTTTGATTACTATAACTAAATAACACTTTTCTGCACTCAGATTTACCCTGAAGAAACCTTTCGGTTTTTTGCAATAAACTCTTTCTGGAAATAGATTATCAAAAACCAGTAAAGAAAGACTTAAAGTCGGACGGGGCCGACTTTATGATACCCTACACCACTTTGCTAATTTAGTAGAGCTCCACATAACAATTAAAAGTTTTTATGGGAGAATTCAATCATACACGCTATGATTATAATTATAATTTAAAGTTCAAAGGACTAAATATGCCGAAGCATTTGTATCTTCTAAATTCGGAATTGTATTGTCCATTTGGTGCACAATTAATTTGAAATCGGATAAAGATATATATGGGAGCTATACCCAAATCTGAACCGATCTCGATAAAATTTGGCAAAGATATTTCTGAGCTGTATTTGATACATTTCCCTGAATATCGTTGTTACGGAGTGCATATTACGGTTGTGGGTAACAAATATAACAAATCGGATGAACAATATATATAGGAGCTATAACTATATCTGAACCGATCTTCACCAAATTTGGCATACTATCTTCTAAACTAAATTCGGTCGTATGTGCCAAATTTCATCCCATTTGGAAAAATATTTGACGTTTGGTGCACAATAAAATGTAAATCGGACGAAGTTATATATGGGAGCTATATCCAATTCTGAACCGATCTCGATAAAATTTAGCAAAGGTATGTGAGCTGCATTTCATATATTTCCCCAAATATTGTTGTTACAGATAATAACAAATCGGATGAACAATCTATATTCGATCAAATTTGGCATACTTATTTTGATTAAATTTGGCATACTTATTTTCAGGCCTAATTTGGTTCTATGCGCAAAATTCCGTACTATTCGGGCTGATATTACACGTTTGGTGCACAATAAAAGTCAAATCGGACGAAGATATGGGAGCTACATCTACATTTTTACCGATTATCGCCAATTTCAATAGGGTTCGTCCTTGGGCCAAACAAATGTTGTTTGGAAAATTTCATCTCAATCGGATAATAAATGCGACCTGCATTTTGTTCACAAGAATACATGGACAGACGGACGGAAGAACAGACGGACTGACGTGCATAAATTAACTCAAAAAGTGATTCTATGTAGATCATCAAAAGGAACAATGGGTCTATCTCGTTTCCTTTTGCCCGTTACAAACAAATGCACAAAGACATAATACCCTGACCACCTTGTGGTGTAGGGTATAAATATCTGAATTTAAGCATGTTTCACTTTAAACTTTATACACCAGCCAGACCGTTTGGATAATGCTGTGAAACTTTTCAAAAAAAAAAAAAAAAAAAAAAAAAAAACATAAAGTGGGTGAGGCCGTTGTACTTGGGCAATACCAAAATGGGAACCTACATAGACAGTTGTCTACTTCAAGGATTGTCGTCTACCAAATCTTCTTAAATACAAAATTTTAAACCAATTCGTGGGCAAATGTATCTAGGATTATCAAATTATCAATTATCAAATTACCGAATATGGTGCTATCATTATAAGTGCACTGTAGGTGGAACTAAATATTCAATGTTCTGCCACAGGGCTAGAACCCATTATGAACGACAAATACCAATTTGTAGACAAATTCGTGAAAAATGTGGCAAAAAGATAAAAATACCGAATATTGTGAGGAACTGTTATATGGGGGCTATACCAAAACGTGGACCTATACATACAATGTCTCGCCGCTCGAGCTAGAACCCATTACGAACTACATATACCAATTTCTAGACAAATCCGTGAAAAAAAAATGTTGAAAAAAATCATCTATACACCGAATAGCGGGATATACCCTTATATGGGGTGAACCGATATATCTTATATTTAAAACAACCATCCTAGGCACAATTGTTCTCCAACTTAAACTTCATGAGGTCTACGACGAATATTTAAGGATGTTACAAACGAAATGACAAAGTTAAAACAACCTCCTTTTCCAGATGGAGGGTATAATGACGGTAGACAATATTTGGAAGTGTTTGTAACTCTGCTACAAAACAATCATCCATCCATTAGAACTCTTGCAGCATTCTCAAAATTCCCAAATGAGCTAACTAATCAAGCGGGGTTGTTTTTGGGATCATTAATTGACATTTCCACCCTTGTGATGTGGTTTTGCTGACATTCTGCTCTTCTCATTTTTTCCTAAGAAAATTGGGGTGCAATTATCCAAAAAATTAATATTTGGTGAATGCAACATAATAGATCAATTCTGTAAAACAACATTTAGTAACCCAACCATGTAAATTTTAAGCAAAGTGAATATGGAATATTTATATCTGATTCAAAATTAAATTTTAAAATCGAGTACACATTCGACTCAGAAAATTCTCAAATGTCTGTTTTTACAAAATAAAGTTAGATATTTTAAACTTGTAAGCGCCGAATTTTGAGTCACGAGGCAAAATGGAATGTGGTGGTGGATATGAAAACATAACCTGACCCAAGATCTGTCACTGCTACTTTCTAAAGAGAGCATTTCTAATATTCCACCACGTTTGTATCGGTAAAGAATTCAACGAAATATCCACCACCAACAACACACCCCACTCTCAATGGAAAAGTTGATTGATAACAACCGGCGCGACCGGTGCAATAAAACACATTAATTCTCTCCCCAACCCACCGCCGAAGCATTTCTAAACGAAAGTGTAAAAAGAACCCATGACGTGTGCAAGAGAGGGAGAGAGGAACAACCTTTTGTTTGTGGATAAAATGCACTTGCAGTGGCCAGATACAGAAATAGAAAAGTGGCACGAGACTTAGTAGTCAAACATCAGCCCGTGACGTTGTAACACAAAACAAATTAAAAAAATATACAAAATTCGTGTTTTTTGTGTTGGAAAAAAACTAGTGTATATATTTAACGTTTTATTTGTCTGTGTGGATCTGTCAAAACAAATTACCCAAAAATGTCATCAAATATTGACATAATGTTCCATTATTTTCTCAAAATTCGCAAGAAGTATCCCAATATTGATAATGATTTGGAAACAATTTTGAGACCTCTACGTCATCCACGTGATGCCATGTGTATGGCTGATATTAAAGGTAAGTTGAGTGTTAAACGCAATGACCTACATACCAATTTTTCCAATATGAATTTATTGTATCTTTTTCTTATTTGTTTTTTTTTAGAAAGTTACAGACAGCTGACTGGTGAAAAATTTCCAATGCGCTGTGGTTCGCTAGGTGTGGGCGAGTTTCTCCTAACAATACCTTATGTGGCATGCTACTGCAACGAAAACGGAACCCTAATGTTCTATTCTGTGGATGGATTCTAATTAGAAAAATAGTGAAATTTACATCGATTATGTACATATATTCAAATATTTTATTTTTGTTAGCTGAAATATTTTTTTATTGATAAATATTTATTTTATGAGAATTTACAAATATAGACAAATTATTTAATTTAAACAATGGAAAGTCGTCATCTGTTTATTATCCATTAGATACAAATTTACATCGATAAATAAAAGGTTGGTATCTTACAGATAAACTAATATTTAATGTTTTGTTATCGATACATTGATTCAAATGGTTTGAACATTTGATTAAAACTATCAAAGATATAAACCTCAGATATATGACGAACCATCTGTGGTTGTTGTCTTCGATGCCCATATGCACTTGAATAGAGGATTCAGTACTATCTCAAAATTTATTGTTCCAAAAAGAACCAGTAAAGAAAATCTTAAAGTCGGGCAGGGCCGACTTTATGATACTCTACACCACTTTGCTAATTTAGTAGAGCTCCGAATAACAATTAAAAGTTTTTATGGGAGAATTCAATCATGCGCGCTATGATTATAATTATAATTTAAAGTTCAAAATACTAAATAGGGCGAAGCAATTGTATCTTTTAAATTCGGACTTGTATTGCCCATTTGATATATATGGGAGCTATATCCAAATCTGAACCGATCTCGATAAAATTTGGCAAAGATATTTCTGAGCTGTATTTGATTTATTTCCCTGAATATCGTTGTTACGGAGTGCATATTACGCCTGTTGGTAACAAATACAACAAATCGGATGAATAATATATATGGGAGCTATAGCTATATCTGAACCAATTTTCACCAAATTTTGCAATTCGGTCGTATGTGCCAAATTCCAGCCCATTAGATATATTAAGGGTATGGTGCACAATAAAAGGTAAATCGGACGAAGTTATATATGGGAGCTATATCCAAATCTAAACCGATTTCGATAAAATTTAGCAAAGCTATTTCGGAGCTGTATTTAATATATTTCCCTGAATATCGTTGTTACGGAGTGCATATTAAGGCTATGGGTAACAAATATAACGAATCAGATGACCAATATATATGGGAGCTATTGCTATATCTGAACCGATCTTCACCAAATTTGGCATACTACCTTCAATTCGGCCGTACGTGCCAAATTCCATCTCATTTGGGCAAATATTAGACGTTCGGTGCACAATAAAAGGTAAATCGGACGAAGTTATATATCGGAGCTATATCCAAATCTGAACCGATCTCGATCAAATTTGGCATACTTTTTTTCAGGCCTAATTTGGTTGTATGTGCATCATACTATTTCCATATTATTTGGGCCGATATTACACGTTCGGTGCACAATAAAGGGCAAATCGGACGAAGATATATATGGGAGCTATATTCAAATTTTTACCGATTATCTCCAATTTCAATAGGGTTCGTCCTTGGGCCAAACAAAATTTCATCTCAATCGAATAATAAATGCGACCTGCATTTTGTTCACAAGAATACATGGACAGACGGACGGACTGACATGCATAAATCAACTTAGAAAGTGATTCTATGGAGATCCTGAAAAGTGACTATGGGTCTATCTCCTTTTGTTTCCTTTTACCTGTTACAAACAAATGCACTTTGTGGTGAAGGGTATAAAAACAGTAAGTTCGACTGGGCCGAACTAGGAATACCCTCCTCCATTTAAACGAATTTTGAAATTTTAAAAAAATAAAATCCGTTAAAAATTCAGTTAAAATCTTAAAAATACCGAATATAGCCGTTATATTGTGGACCTACATATGCCTTGTTGTCAGAAGCCATTACCATATTCAAATTCGAAACTTGAAGTAAACGGTGAATAATGTAGCTAAAATCATCGGAGATATGCGAAGACCTGGACTTGCATAGACAATTTTCCGTAACAGTCTGTAGCATCAAATACAACATCTCAAACAATTTCGGTGAGTATTGACCCTAAAATCGTAAAAATACAGAATATAGGCGGGTACCGTTATATGGGAGCTATACGAAGACGTGGACCTGCATAGACAATATTCTGTCTTAGACTAAAGGATCCATTTCGAACTTCAAATACCAACTTTGAAACAATTCCGGTGAATAACGTCGCTAAGATCATCAAAGTACCGAATATTGGGAGGTACCGTTATATCGGGGCTATATGAAGACTTGGACAATATTCTGTCTTAGGCTGAAGTATCCCTTTGGAACATCAAATATCAAATTTGAAGCAATTCCGGTGAATAATGTCGCTTAAATCATCAAAATACCTAATATCGGGTGGTACTGTTATATGAAAACAAAATATTTTCAAAACCAATGATTGGAGTACACGTACATTGCGGCTCGCGCATTGAAGCTATTAACCAGTTTAGCCATAAAATGGAAAGATTGAAGAGTTTGGATCATATTTTTGAAAGAAAATCCTGGCATTCGATTCATTTTCGCGCTATTTATTTAAAATATGAAAAAAGTGAGAACAACTTGTTCTATATAATTTTGAATGAGTTTGACAGGAAGAGGGCATAGCCTCAGGGCTGTATTTCTGTAGTTTTACGAAGCTTTTGTACCTCCTTATTATACCATGATTTTAAGCGTTAAATATTATACACTAGCAAATACTCGCTACTTCGTCAGCGAAAATTTCACCTTAAAATTTTAGATTCTTTCGTCCTTGAGAACCCCATTGAAATTGGTGATAATCGGATCAGATTTAGACATAGCTCCCATATATATCTTCAAACGATTTCGGGTTGATTGTGCACCAAATGGCCGATATCAGTCCAAATGATTTGCATTTTGGCACATCCGACCTAATTCAGTCTAGAATCAAGTACATCAAATATGGAATATGAAAATCGTTTCAGATATAGCTATAGCTCCCATATATATATGTATCATCCGATTTGGTGTTAAAGTCCCTCACATGCGCAACAAGGATATTTGATACCGGATATCAGATACAACTCGAAAATACCTCAGCCAAATTTTATCGAGATCGGTTAAGATTTTTATATACCTTCGATATTCATCTTCATCCGATTTTAAGGTCGTAGTCCACCATATATGTAACATCAGCCAAAATATATAGATTTTTTCAAATTCAGCCGAATTTTTCCATTTGGTGAAACTATATTACTATTGCTCCAATATATATTTTTTATATAATCCTTATCAAATTAATATCATGCACTATACAACAATGTTATTTGTTACTAGAGGATCGAAAGCCTTTGTCAATTTTTTGAAAATCGATTCAGAGTTTGATATAATTCCCAAATTGTGACAACTTTTAAGCCATGATAGGCATTCAAATAAGGTTCGTAGTTGGAATGATCCGATTAATTGCCAATATAAGCTTTTTTGTTACGGGAGCTTTGTTTGCAACGCATAGTTGTGTTAGATATCATATAGTCGACTCCGCCCGACTTTGGGGCTTTCTTTACTGGTTTTAGTACATATGAATTTCCGGAGTTTATATAAGACTAGCTGACCCCGATGCGCTTCGCTACCCCTTTTGATTTTATATGCATTCAAAATTTTATTTATTTATTTTTATGCGATTTTTTAGACGTTTTTTCTTTCCCGCCAACAGGCCATTCTGAATTAATGAGAACTGTCGAAATCGGTTCAGCCGTTCTCGACATATAAGAGATTTTTCAAGCATATCTTCTTTGATAAACATATATGTCGCACATATTTTCTATATATCCGTTTTGTTGGATGTTAACTTCAATGTAAAGATCAGAAGTAACCATGTCATGGCTTTGTGATTTCGCCGGGATTTAAAACATTCGCGGTTTAGTGAAAAATTTTGATTTTTTTCAACAAAAAAGATATGGTCTATTTTACCCGCTAAATATTATCGGATGACCACCCAAATTGGTAGGCTTCTTCCCCGCCCTAAACTCTAGCAACATGCGAAATTCCGCGTCGATCGGTCTATAATTGCGACCTGTATAGCTACTGCAAAATCCGACATTTGTTCAGTATTTGGTCCATTTCAACCCCTAAACATTTGGCGATCATCTCCAAAAGAAATAGGGTTCTATTCTGACCCTAGCCCCACCTCCATTTTAAATTTCGTGAAGATCGGACCATAATTGCGATCTGTAGAGTGATTACAAATAAACATGTACAGACGGACAGACGGACGGACGGACATACATAGCTAGATCGACTCAGCTCGTCGAGCTAGGAAGATCCATATATACTTTCCTATGTGGGAAGTCAATATTTCGTGGTGTTACATAATTTTTGGCCCAATCAAACTTATAATACCCCAACACATAGTGTTATAGGGTATAAAAATTAAAAAAAAATATTGCACTACTTTAATTTGTTAATAAACAAAACTATTAGAAAAGCAGTAACATGACATGTCCTTTGGATTTATTTATTTCATAGCAAATACCAAGCGTGCAGGAAACTGCAATTTTTTGAAGTTCAGTGGCATTTTTATTGCAATTAGTGAATTCGAGGTAGCAACATACTTCCCCACAATAAGCGTATTTCAAATTAATTGTTGTTTTGTTTTCAGTATTAGCCTAAGGCGTTGTAGGTCAATGGTTCTTATTAAAATCATATCCCAATCTGATCCGATTTAAATATAATTTTAAAAAATTTACTTTTACACCAAATTCCGCCACAACTTTCATATTTCATTGAAATTGGTGCGTCAAATATGTGAAATCGGCCGAGAATATATATATGGGAGCTATATCTTAATCTATATCTTAAATCTTAACTAATTTCCAATTAATTTGTCACATTTATTATTGTAACCAAATTCCGCCACACATTCTGAATTTTATTGGAATCGGTCATATATATCGAGCTATAATCAAATCTGAGCGAATTTGAATATAATTAGTCAAATTAATTTTTGTACCAAATTTAGTCACTCATGGCGAATTTCATTGGAATCGGAAATACGTATCGTGTTTTGTGCATCAAATATGTGAAATCGGCGGAAAATATATATGGGAGCTGTATCCAAATCTGAACCGATTTTAATATAATTTGACTAATTTATTTTCTAATCAAAATCCCGTCACACATTCCCAATTTAATT